GGTGCAACATCCAGCCCTCCAGCTGTGGTGCAACTGCAAATCCCATTAGGCATTGCAAGACTTTTGACAGCTACAGGCATGACTCCCTAGTCAGAGGGGCTGCAGTTTGCTTACCCCTGGTCTAGACCAACAGACATGGCAGCAATCAGGGAGAGCTGCTGACTAGCACGACCGTGGGGCCAATGAAATGGTATTGATTTGTGGACCAACCCTGGAGAACTTACACAGAGGAGTGAAATTAAGTTGACTCCAGCTGGAATAACCCTTAAAGCCCAACTCCGGAATAGAATAAACATCCCACTGATCGCGGGGCTAAAAACCCTCCCCCAAAACAGAGTCCCCCTTTTCACCACGGTCACATGATCACCCAGAGCCAGGTCTGACTGTTTGCCTACTGCTGGGGTCCTTCTTCCAGGTGTCCACATTGCTGCCTGTGTGATGTGGACAGTTCCTATTGGCAGTCCAATGGAGGGGGTCCTCTCCGGATCCAGAATACTGATGTTGGGCCAAAGGGAGTAAAGGGGACCAGTTGGCAAGGGTTTACTCTTCAGCACATTAGTGGTCCCCGTCGGAGGAAACGGCATCATTGGGAGCCATGAATGGGTGTGTGGGGGGTTACTCTGAGTGTAATTTGCTTTACAAAACTAGATGCCTGACAGGAGGGGGTCAGAGAGGGATGATATGGAGAGTTTTTGCCCTAGAGGGTTTGTTCTTGGATCGGTCCTTCCAGCGTCTCTCCCCCTCCTCTGCATCATTTTGAGGTCCAGTAAATCACAGTGTATAGAGTGACGATGCCGAGGAAGATTCCAATGATGCAGTGTAGGAGGGGAGCTCTGTGACAGGTGACTATGACTTTGATATTTTAGCACTGTGACAAAAACCAGCAGTTAACCCAGGGAGTAGCCCCAATGCAAGGGTTAAAGTTTTTCTGGCGTTCTAATTTAATGCTTGTTCACACCATGTCCACATGCTAAAATAACGTGTGTTGTGCAGGAAGATGCAGGTCACCGCATATGGCATGAACAGGCGCCTTGCCCTGATCTTCAAATGAGGTCATTGTTTATTTGGGACATTGGGTTCAACTTACAGAATTGTTTATCTCTTGTGAAGTCATTTTCTTAATAAGGCTCCTTCATATCTCCTGTACCCAATACATGACATGCTTCATGTAGCCTTCTCTGTAAATAGCGGCGTTCCACCACTACAATGTTATAACAACGTCAGCATTGTTTTAAAAGCCATGATAAAATCGGTGTAAAAAGAAATTCACAAAGATCACCGCACAGGATATCACCCCGTAATATAACACTGCTCTCAGGCAGGCGATAATGGAGTGTCAGTAGGTGAGGGGAGAGGGAAAAGGCGCCATTTGTGATCAAATAAAGCAAAAATTCAATGTTCAGGTCATGTGGAGCATTACTAGAACTCATTATGTGCAAAGATTTATTTATTTGTTTGGTCATATGACAAAACTTCAACAAATGAAGCTTTTGCTATCTTAAAAGGATTGGTGTGCTGGTGACATTTCTACAATTTTGCTGACATTCGCAGCACCATCCGCAGTCACTGCCAGCACCCCCACTACAAGGGACATATCGGTAAGGAGTGCGACAAGGATAGTTCTTATTGTCTGATGCACAAATAGCAGGGCTCAAAATTTCCACTTGGCGAGTGGAAATGCAGTGCAGGCGAGTGGAAATTCAGTCAGGCTTGAGTCAGTACCTGACTAGTGGGAGCAGCTGCTCCTGCTGGGCTCTCTGTTCTGTCAGCCGCAGCTCTTCACTGAGCTCCGGGTCGAAAACAGAGTGATTAGTAATGTCTGCAGACCTTGGTGCATGGAACAGGGCGGAGAGTGTATTATTTTATATGTGGCGGCAGGGAGCATTATGGTAATAAAGTTGTTAATATTTATTTTTGTAACTTTATTTTGCATAAAACATCTAACAGTGTAATTTATAGGATTATATAAGAGGGTGTGTTTAGGGGGCGAAGTTAAGGGCAGGGTAAGGGTTAGTTGGGGCAACTGGTGGCGAGTAACTCCTAAGGCCTGGCTAGTAGCTCAGGACTTGAAATTTTTACCCCTGCAAATTATATACATTTTTGTTAATAGGGGACTTGAATAAATTTTTAGGATTTAACTCCTGAGTTTACTGTCACCTTAAGTATTGCCGTCTGACGGCAACCCGCAGATAGGAGTCAGCCGTCCGTCCGTTTTTTCTTAACGGGCGGATGGCAAGAGGTTAAAGAACTCCAGGGTCCTTATCTCCGTAAGCTCTATTAAACCACTGAAAGTTTTTAAATTACGTCTTTTCCTGTAATCTGTTTTTATGGGCCAGCAAAGTCAAGTCCCTTCTGAAACAGTGCTCCTTCCTGCCACCGAGAGGAGGATTATCTAGTTTGCTGCACGTCACATTCGTGCAATGAAACAAACAATATTTCCCGTCAGGCAAACGCAGGAAACAGTGAGGGGGCAGGTACAATTAACCTAGTGCTCATTTACATGAGGCTGCATGCCCGCCAATCAGAGGAGGGTGGGTGACAGACCTGGAGAGTCCTGACCTGCCAGTCGCAGTGTGGGGTCATAGGAGTGACCGACCAGGAGACTCCTGACCTGCCATTCGCAGTGTAGGTGCAAAGGAGGAGTGACAGACCAGGAGACTCCTGACCTGCCAGTCGCAGTGTGGGGTCATAGGAGGCGTGACCGACCTGGAGACTCCTGACCTGCCAGTCCCAGTGTGGGGTCGTGGGAGGCGTGACCGACCTGGAGACTCCTGACCTGCCAGTCGCAGTGTGGGGTCATAGGAGGCGTGACCAACCAGGAGACTCCTGACCTGCTAGTCCCAGTGTGGGGTCGTGGGAGGCGTGACAGACCTGGAGACTCCTGCCCTGCCAGTCGCAGTGTGGGGTCATAGGAGGCGTGACCGACCTGGAGACTCCTGACCTGCCAGTCGCAGTGTGGGGTCATAGGAGGCGTGACCAACCAGGAGACTCCTGACCTGCTAGTCCCAGTGTGGGGTCGTGGGAGGCGTGACAGACCTGGAGACTCCTGACCTGCCAGTCGCAGTGTGGGAGTCATAGGAGAAATGACGCACTAGGATACTCCTGACCTGTCAGTCGCAGTGTGGGAGTCATAGGAGAGGTGCTTTTATGAGTGGATGGATGTGCGTGTTCGCTCTCCTATTCAGACTTGTTAACTTTGTCTGTCTGTATTCTGTTTTTGTACGGCTAGGTTCAAATATGGGCGATTCAGGGACTGCGCGATCATGCACACAGCGATTGATGCGTGGCAATTGTTAAAAAAAAAGTATATGTACTTTTTTTTTTTTTTTATGGTGACAGACGACGCATGGCATTTTTTGCCGCGATTGTGTTCATTTGCACAGGCAGTTTTGCGTGCAGGAAACCGCGCAATCTGCCCGGCGCGACTGGGGTGCTGTTAGAAAATACTGGTGGGCGATTCTGTATCTGCATGATTTCGTGCACGATTACGGATTGCGCAGGTGTAAATTTAGCCTCAATGTACAGGAGAGGGTATTGGGGGGATATACATGAAGTACTTTTACTGTATGCTGTCAGCAATTTTCTGTTGAATACATTTGAGGGAGCAGATCAAAGCAGGGCACACACATAGTTGCTGCTGTGCTTTGGGAGAGGAGTATTGGCGAAAAAACGGTATCTGTGCATCCCTAGTTAAGGTATTTGAATGCATTTTCCAGAGTTAAGACTAGGGATGCACAGATACTTTTTGAGTACCAGTGCAGATACTTGGCATTTTCATGAGAACTACCAGGGTTGCAGCGGTTGCAGCTGGGACCGGGCTCTGGCGCTCCACCACTGTCCTGAAATCATTAGTCTGTATTGTTTTAGAAAAACTGTCACATGACAATAAACAAAAATGTATCAGTACTCGTACTTGTAAGTACTCGGCAAGTACCAGTACTCGCAAAACTGGTATCTGTGCATCCCTTTATTTATATTTATAAAAACAAAATCATACATTAAAACAGAGATGTACAAATCCCAGGAGCTCCGTGTGCTCCTTACAAATGACAGCAGCCTCCTAACTTTTGAATTTGTCTCTAGTGTAGTCTTGGAGCTCAAAAGTATCGGTACATGTACTCGTACTTGTACCGAGTACTGTACTTGGTATCTGTGCAACCCTAGTTAAGACTGAAGTGTCACTAATTCCTGTTGCATTAATGTGCATTAAAATGCATACTGTTACCTAAAAGCATGGCATGCTTTATACTGCAATAAAATGTCAGATTTTTTTTTTTGTGTTAAGATGCACTAAAATTCTGAATAGTTGTCAGAGGACTTCTAATCTATTGCTGGCTGCAATCACCCAGCAATAGATCACTACAGCAGTGATCTATTGCTCCCAGGCAGAGGCTGGACAGAGCTACCTCTGGTCTACCTGATACTCTATTCTAGAGCTGGGACATCATTTCACTTCCAATATAAACACAATGTGGGATCATTGTTCCACATTGTGCTTACATTGCTCCTATGGAGCAGAAGCCTCGGCACACGCATCACACACACCTCTCATTGCATGATGAGATACCCGCTGTGCCTGTTGCTGTATAGTGGCAGTGTGTGACTTGTCGGCCTGGAAGCTCTCCATGGAAGAGGGAGAAGTGCTGCATCTGCCACCACCTTGTTTCCTAGCAAGATCCAATCGCCAGGATTCTTCTTTCACTGCCCTAGTGACTTGTGAATGTCGAGCCCTGTAGTTCTTGGTTTTTATTTGCACAATTCCCAAATTCTAAGCAGCTACATCCTCCACACTCATATTGTAGAGAAAATGGGAGATTGAATAGACATTTATTTATATACACAAGCGTGGTGTTGTAGCGGTCATGTTGCACCTTAACAGTTTTGATGAGCGCAGGAACACTTTCCTGTCCTGTCTCTGCTGATCTGTCATGTGATTCACAGCTAACAGCTGAAGGTTGTGTGTTTTGTAAGTGTACTTAATGTGTTTGTCTCCCCGCCAGATAACTGCCATGATGAACGGTTCAAATCTTGGGAACTCCACGTCCAACAACAAGTCCAAGGACGAGCAGGTGGTAAACGGACACGACGAGAATGAAAACAATCCGTTTGCGGAGTACATGTGGATGGAGAACGAAGAGGACTTCAACAGACAGGTAATGCGCTACGTCAGTAGCAGCAGCGTCAACCACTGATTGATTGGACATGCCCTACTTTCCACTTCCTCCGATGTCCTGTTTTTGCTTTGTGGAGTTCTTCTGACATCTGTCACATAGATTAAAATGTAATTTCTTAATAGCTGGATCATATTGATTTCTTTAACAGGTGGCAATAGAAGTGCCTGGCATCTGTATATACATCCTGTTATCCTCAACACCAATACTGTTAAGTAGAATGGCAGCAGTGACGCTCGGTCTGAACTTTATTATATTTCATGGTTTTGTCAGTCTTGAGTGCCAGTCGACCGGGCTTTGTGCACATCAGAACTGCTTCTCTCCCTCCATGGGGATGCAACTGATACAGGTCAGATGCCCCTGCAATTCTGAAGGATCTCAAAAAGTGCTTCTAATGCAGAGGTGGCCAGCCTTGGCACGCCAGCTGTTGTAGGACTGCAAGTCCCATGAGGCATTGCAAGACTCTGACAGCAACAGGCACGACTACCAGAGACAGAAGCTTGATGGTATTTGTAGTTTCACCACAACTGGAGTGCCAGGGTTGCCACATCCCCTGCTCTAATGAATGTCAAAAGCACTTTGACACAGGCCCCCAGTACTGGGAAATCGTCAAGATCAGTTAAGCGCACATAGATGACTTCATTGGTGCGCTCTCTTAGATTGGCTTACATATTGAGCTCCACTTTGGAGCTGTGACTTTATTTTTTTTTTTAACCCCTTCATTACTGACGTCTTCATAGTAAAGTTAAAAAAAAAAAGCTTTTTCAATAAAAATTAAATAAAATCAATCTAATAATAATTTTAAAAATTTTTTTAAAGTCCCCCGCCCCCGCGAGCACGCTTGTCACCACGTAAACACGCGTCGGGTGTGCCTACGTATGAAAACGACGAACGCGCTACACATGTTGGGTATCGCCGCGCACGCCGGAGTGAGCAATAATTCTAGGGCCAGTATTTTGGGGTATCTCTAAATTGATGACCTGTGGGGGCTTTTAAAGCGTCTTCTATTGACTTTTTGGGGTACTGCAGTTTTTCGCTGTTTCACGGACGCACGCAATTTGTAACCTATGCATGTTGGGTATCGTTTTACTCGTTGTAACCTCATCTTTTGTCATTTAAAAAATTTGTATTTTGTTGTGTTTTGGGGCATTAAATTAAATTTTTCACTAAATGTTGGGGTTTAATAAGGAGTTGCACTAATATTGCGCAACATAAAAGTTTGCAACTACCACCAATATATTCTATAGGGTCTTGGCATTCAGAAAATATATAATGTTGGGGGGTTTTAAGTCATTTTCAGGCATAAAATGTGGAATATAACATGGGTGCAAAAAATGAAAAAAGGGCCTCAGTCATGAAGGGGTTAAAGCAGTTTTTGGCCTATTGACCATGGCAGTCATAAGTTGAATCTACACTTATCAGTCCCCACTCAGTGGAAGTCTCCCCGCAGTGAAGGTCGGAGAGAGGAACTAGTGAGCACTGCGGGAGACCCAGAAAAGTGGCACTCCTGGAAGTTTCAATTGCCGAGCTGTTTTTAGGGGACAAATACTCGGCAGCAAAGTCGTTCAGCATACTAGAGAGCTAAGTGTATAGACACTTCAATCCAAATCTCTTCACTATTTAAATAACACTATAACACCCTAAAACCCAATTCTAAACAAAACCTTAGATGTGAAACTAAACCCTCTGTATTGTCCTTGGCATTCAGATTGTGCCTATTGTTTCTGAAGGGAAGAATCTGATTGCTGTGGGTAGCGGTGTGAGGCCATTAATGGACATAAGGCTAGATATATGCTAATCAAAACTTTTGGCTGCTATTAAAGCGTTCTCCCTGTTTGCAACAAATGCTAAATATACCATCGTAATGTCACCTGAGCCTAGAAGAGCATATGGTCTGAGCAATATAGGTGATGGCCGATTAGTTTTCATGGCTGTGAGATCTGCGACGGGTAGAATGTTTGTGGCCCAATAAAGCGAGTATGGTTCTTTAGATCATGTTGGTGTCTGATTAGGCATCAGTCATGGGTTAGGGGGTTGCAGGTGTATTTAAAGCATTCTTTGAGCACAACCACAAATCAGTTTCAGATTTTGCATTTAGTGTAACTGGTGATACAAGAAGAAGATGGAGAGAAGGTTACACGGCATTGGCTTCAGGATATCACTCCCTCAGTGACACAATGTGGGTATACAGTATATGAATTTCAGCCGGATCTTTGTGAACCGGTTGGAATTTGCAAAGCGGGTGCTGCTGTTGGCAACCTTTCTGTTGGCATGCAGCTGGGTCTGACATCAGCCACCGTCGGAATACAATGAAGACAGCGGGGATTCCTTGACCAACACTTGTAAGTGTTGATAGAGGAATCTGTTCAGTTCAGTCTGTAGGTTGAAAAAAGAAAATTTTAGTGTATGGCCAGCTTTAGTATAGTGAATGACACAGGGCACAGATTGAAATATCATTCGTGTCCGTTTCCCCATGTATGGTTATCACATGGTCAGGAAGTGGCGGTAAGTGTCTCCAATTGACAGAAGTTCTTATTTGTACCCGCTCTATTAAACAAGTAAAAACAATGAAGCGCCACTAACTGACTCCTCACTGGGAAATCTTCTCAGGCATACTGCAGGATGCTGCCCCGAAAGGAGCCGGGAAAGCTGGGAATCTGAAAAGTAAACACAAAGGGGGCGCCTTTCCTAGTGCAGATCAATTTATTTCAATAAGCACGAAATGGAAGAGAGATAAAATGGTACTCAAACATGAGTGTTACACAGGCATGGGATGGGAGCTGACATGCAGTAAGACATCCACTAGGAATTGTCTAGTGCTCCCATCCCATGCCTGTGTAACACTCATGTTTGAGTACCATTTTATCTCTCTTCCATTTCGTGCTTATTGAAATAAATTGATCTGCACTAGGAAAGGCGCCCCCTTTGTGTTTAGTGTTTTAATAGAGCGGAAAAGTAAACAGAAAGGTGGCTCCTGGACACAACAGGGAAATCTTGTGCTTTTTTGTGACTGTTCTTTCTTGTGCCCAATCAGGTGGAAGAGGAGCTACAGGAGCAGGACTTTCTAGACCGCTGCTTCCAGGAAATGCTGGATGAGGAAGATCAAGACTGGTTCATTCCTTCTCGTGACTTGCCGCAGGGTGTCGGGCAGTTGCAGCAGCAGTTAAATGGTCTCTCAGTCAATGACACTCATTGTACGGAGGACATCTTGGTACGTTCTGTCTTCCCTCATCCATTGTTGGCACTGACTGAATGAGAATAACGTATTTCTGTGGACTCTGTTTATATATTTTCATAGAGTGAATAGTTTATCACTTCAGTGCTCGCATTTTAGTAATTTTTGACGTTCCTTTCACAATTTTAAGTTTACTTGTCTGTGGTTTTGTTAATAGAGTTCTAGAAGAGCTTCCAGACAGCTTTCTGCTATGACTATGCCTCTCTGCTGACCAGATAAGACACCTGTAGTGTTTTCAGTGAGTTGGCACAACAGTCGATTCATATTGTGAGGTGGAGCATTAAAGCACTACTAAGCAGAGCCTGCACATGGAAAGAATAAACATGGCCCCCCAATTAGACCAAAGCAACAGTATCTTTAAACCTACCAACAAACTTTTGTGTTACTTGCTCCCCTGCCACTGTTTTTTCCGTCACAGCCGCCACCGATATTGGTGATTGGTCACCAGTCTTCAGCACTGCATCATGGGAAAAGGTCATCTGCTCCTCCTTACTACATACTGCCCACTAGGCTTCAGAACTACATACTACTAAGATTACATTGGAGAACTCATGCACTTTCTCTACTTTTTGTAGGAGGAGAGGAATTTAGGGCAGAAATTCTTCTACAAAAACAGATCTGGCCTTACCATGCTGGAACTAAAGGTGACTATACGTTTCCATGGGTCTAATCAGCATAAAATGACCCTAACAGTCGCAAGAGATTGCAGCTGACATTCCCCTGGGATGGAAGCAATCTCTACTCATGGCCCATGTTTCTTACCTTCCCTCTGTTCTAGTGCTGCAACCTCCATCACTCTTAAACGTTTAACACTTTGTAATGTGTACCCCATTGGGTGCTGTGGTTCCTTCCTTCGACCCATCGCTGTCTTGTAACAACTTAAGAGTTGAAGGAAGGAACTACAGTGGACACAGAAGTCCAACACAACATGGCGTGTTGAATGCTGATGGAGGCTGAAGAACTGGAATGAAGGGGAAGGGTAGGGGGCACCGGAGAGGTGAGTACACCACCTCTTCTATTCGTTTACTTTCAGATGGAATCTTTATTGCAACAGACAAGGTTTCTGGAATGTAAAAGATCGTGCCAGTGGTGCTTTAGGATCCTTTAGTCTGTCTGTGCTTCACTGCTCCTCTTAGTCTAAAACGGGTAGCAAACCTCCGGCCGTCCAGCTGTGGTGGAACTACAAATCCCATGAGGCATTGCAAGATTCTCACAGCCACAGACATGACTCCCGAAGAGATGCATCATGGGATTTGTAGTTCCACCACAGCTGGAGGGCCTGCGGTTTGCTATCCCTGGTCTAAAAAGTCTGTAAGGCTGACTGAGTTTATTGCAGCATGGAGTGCAATTCACATTTCCTGATATACAGATGGCGGGAAGTGGCAAAATCCGCATAACTGTGTGTGGTATATAATTATGAAAGTAAGACATTTAAAAATGTGAAGTCTTGTCAAAAAATTATTTCAGGTATATGCGACAGTAGTATCTTTAAAATGTGTACGTTGTTTTTTCCTCTACAGTAATTTTGCCCGCCTTCAGTCGCCTGAACACAGCTTCTGTTTGTTTCCAAAATCTTCCTTGGAACCCCAAAAGCCAGGGTGCTCTATAATGCAAATTGTGACCAGGTCTAGGTTTGTCGTGCTCTCACCTGCCTCCAAGCCACCTTGTCTGTGAGGCCATCCATCACATTCAGTAACAAATGAGGTTCAGGGATGGGCTGCAGTGCACTTATCGGATCTCTGTAACAAATTGCATAATGGGAGCATACTTTGTTTGTAGGGCACACTGAAAATAAATTGCGTTTGGGTGTCTAGAGGCGATTGGCGTCTTTATAAGCTGGTAGTCTATCCACTTGAGTGCTTTAGTGCGTTTTGCTTAAAGCCCCGTTCACATTGAGCGATTTATCGCGCGGTAATTCCCGCGATGTCGCGCTCCAATGCATTTCAATGGGGCAAAGGGTCCTGCTGTCGTGTGTCGCTACGGCTGGACCCTTTTTGGAGCGGATTTAGCCGCGATTCAAGCTTAATGCAAGCTTGACCGCGATATCGCGCAATATGCAAATCGCGCGGCAAATGCGCAATTTGCATATCGCGCAGTGGGAACGGGGCCTTAAAGGTGCCCATACACCTTACAATTTTATCGTTCAAAAAACCAATGCTATCGGGTTTTCGTACGATAATCGGCCAGTTGATGTGAAGTCAACGATTGCAATTACTGTACAACTGGCTGAATTTTCTCGTACGGTCAGGCTGGACAACATTTCTCGAATCGTATGAAAATCGATGGGTTAGTGCCGTTTTTCGTACGTGAATAAAAATCGCAACAAGAACACTGCACATGCGCAAACGAAAATCTGTTCTGTTGATAGAAATTCGGCCAGTTAGTATTGCTAAAAAACGATAATGAAAATCCACATGGGTCTGTGCATAATGGGGTATTCGAGCGGAAATCGAAGGGGGTTCGATGACGGGACTAAAGAAACCGAACAATAATTGTAAGGTGTATGGCCAGCTTTAAGTGCAGTCCCCTTGCCAACCTTTTGAACCCATCCTCATTTTTTTTTTTTTACCTTGTGACACAAGATATACTCGCCTAAAGTAGGGTACATTGTACTAAGTTCAACTGGTTCCTGATGAACTGGCCAACATTTGCAGTGGGTGCTGGTGTCTGTCCCTTTCCGTCTGGCATCCCTTGATCAGCCGAATGGAGCTTGCAGCTGCTAGCTCCGTTTGGGTATTCAGACAGCGGCTGGTCGCCACTGTCAGAATACAATGCAAACATTGTGGAATCGTCCATCCATGCTCATAATTGTTGGAGGAATCTGTTCTAACTTTGTTTTGTTTTTGTTCAGCACTCTGGTTGAACAAAAAATAGGCATGTTTATACCCGACTGAAGTCTGGGGTCCTGGTGTGGGGGTATTGCTAATCCTGTGCTGTAGATTTGTCTTTGGCGGCTGTTACCTGGAGGTCCCCTCCTGTTGGACATCACCACTAAAGGACTCCTTTTATAGGCCCTGAAAGGACCATGCTGCTAGACAACCAAAATGAGGTGTCCACATTATACAGCCAGTGACGTGGCTGTACAACTAATACAGCAATGCAGAATACCACAAGCTATAGAGGAGTAGAAATCACAGCAATGCAGAATGGCACTGGTAATGGGAGGACTGCAAATCCCAGCAATACATTATGTAGTAATGCGGTATAACAGTATTTATCTGCATTGCTGTATAACACATTGCTGGGATTTGTAGTCTTCTCTAGTTGGTTGCCAATCTGCATTGCTTTATAGTGTATTGCTGGGATTTGTAGTTCTCTATCGCTGATTGTATTATAATGACTCTTAGGCCTGGTTCACACCTGGGCGTTTTGTAGCGCGTTCCTACGCTCTGCAAAACGCTCAAACACCGAAATCCCATTATTTCCTATGGGTATGGTTCACACCTGGGCGTATTACAGGCCGTATGAACGCGCTACAAAACGCCCTACGCCCAAAGAAGTACAGGAGCTTCTTTGGGGCGTCTTTGCCTCGCGTATCCATTGGGATACAGCCAGGTAGCCCTCGGAAACGCGTGTTTGTTGCGTGTTTTTTACTGCGCATGTTCGATACGCCTAGGTGTGAACCCAGCCATAAGTCACGCTACTGACTCCAAGCTGTACAGGGACAAGTACAGCAATACATTATATAGCAATGCAGAATAACATCAGCTATAGAAGACTACAAATCCCGGCAATATATTATACGGCAGTGCAGAATAATACTTTGTGAAACTGCTACATCCTCTGTGCTGCTGCTGTGCTTCAGTGGTGCCAGCCTGATGTTTGTAGCGGAGGGTCTGAGGAGCGCAAGATGTGTGGGCAGCAGAAGCGATGTAAGCGGGCTCCCCATGGTTTCCATGAAGGCTACCGCAAGGTCCCCAGCAAGCGTGGGATTCTACGCAGCTGAATCAATTTGAAAAATTAAAGTGCAAATATTGGTTTTTAGTATCTGTGCATACCTACTGAGAACTTTCAATCCTGAGTCTATTCACACAAACTGAAGGTTCATAAAAATGTACAGGGCGAAAGGCTCTGCCCGTTTGTACATAGACCCTAAAATAAAAAGCATTTCACCTTTTATGATCTGGTTTTTAATCCTTTCCCATTTTCTTCTATTTTATTTTAGAGCAAAAGTACCCTGAATCCCGACGCAAAGGAGTTTGTTCCCGGAGTGAAGTATTGAACATTACAGGCAACTTTTTAAAAACAAAACTAAAAAAAAAAAAAAAAATACACAAAAAGACTGTTTCCTTATACCTTCAGGATAAAGCTGCACAAAAAAAGAGGGGAATATTTGGGGAGGTGGTTAATAGCGATGCTTTAACTCGACACTGTGACTCGAGTACATTAAATGTGGGATAATTTCTTTTTTCTTCAGGCGTTTAGCCGGTCCCTCCCCTTTAACAGCATATATTTCGGTGGTATGCTTGTTGGACTTGGTTTTTTTTTTTCCTTCAAAAGCCGGGGATTCGATTTTCATCAAGGCCGCCTGCTGTTGTATTTAAATCGAAAACATCATGGAAGAGTCGTAAATAAAATCATGGGCTTTTTTTTTTTCGTTTTTTTTTCACGTACTCCTTGACCGCCATCTGTTTCATTGACCATTTACAGGAAGATGTGATTGTAGTTTCCAGCATGAAGATGGTTACCCGAATTCCAGCATTTGTGATTTTTAGGGGACTTAACATATTTTGTGAGAGCCATTTGTTTTTCAGTGTTCAGTTTTTAAAGGCGCCATCTTGTTCTTTACCAGACTTCACCATGGAAAGCTTTTACCCCGGACTTCAGATTTTTCCTGCAAACACAATCATCGAGTCTGTATACCCATTGTAATTATGCTGCAGTTGAATTACCGGCCTTGACT